ACAACTTGTAGTGGGCACTGACAATCAAATGGTGTTTAACGAAGCAGGAAGCATCATTTCAAATGTTAACACTAAAGAAGTTTTGCTCACATCCAAACGATATGGAGACATGTTTACTCTCGATATCAAATCAATCGTAGGAAAAACCTCAGTGTGTTTACTTTTGAAGGATTCATCTAATGTTAGTTGGCTTTGGCATCAAAGACTTTCTCACTTGAATTTTCAAAATATCAACAAATTGGTAGTTGATGATCTTGTCTGATGTTTTCCTTTGTTAAAAATTGATAATGATATGTTATGTGCAACTTGTGAAAAAGGAAAACAACATCGTAAAGGTCATCATGTGGTAATTGATTCAAAGATTGTTGAACCGTTGGAATTACTTCACATAGACTTATGTGGACCATCGACTGTTGAGACACTCAACAAGAAATGGTACATTTTAGTTATTGTTGATGATTCCTCACGGTTTACTCGATTTTATTTTCTCAAGTTAAAATCTGAGGTTGCTCAAGTAATGATCGACTTCATCAAGAAGGTTGAGATCAACTTAGAGAAGAAAGTTCGAAAAATCAAAAGTGACAATGGGTTTGAATTTAAGAATAACTTTCTTGATTTCACATAATTTCTCTTCACCATACACACCTTAGCAAAATGGTGTGGTTGAGATAAAAAATCGTTCTCTCTGTAAAGCAGCACGCACAATGCTTACATATGTGAATATTCCTTTATATCTTTTGGGCTGAAGTTGTTTCCAATGCACATTTTACTCAAAATAGATCATTTATTCATCATCCTTTTAACATTACTGCTTATGGATTCTTAATAACCGAAAACCTGATGTCAAATTCTTTCATATTTTTGGTTGCAGGTGTTTTATCATGAATCTCAAGGACAATCTTTCGAAATTCCAGTCCAAAGCTGATGAAGGAATTTTCTAGGGATATTCTCATAATTCGGTTGCATATCGAGTTTTGAATAAACGAACATGCAAAGTGGAAGAAACATTTAATCTAACATTTGACGATTATTATGTTAAGAAAGTCGAAAAATGTTTTGATCACAAACCAATTATTAATGAATCACATGTTGAGTCTGAAATTTCAAATTCGACAAATTTTGATTATGATTTAATCTTTGGTATTCTAGATATGGCTGCTAATGCTGAAGTTAATGCAACTGATAGTCGCATACCTGAAACTTCAAAGCATTCTGACAATTCGACATTAACCCAAGATGTTATAGATTTAAGTTCAACATCGAATTCTCCAAGAATTAGCGAAAGCATGCTAAATGATCAAGTGGAGGGGGAGCACTTGAATACGACAACTCAGGTTGAGGTGGAGCATTCATTCAAGGGGGAGTATAGGAGATTAGATAATGATGTTGAGAGGTAGAATCCTATTGAGGGGGAGCATCCTATTGAGAGGGAGAAAAATGATTCAATTATGTCGAATAGTGATCATAATGAAAATTTTCATGATTCAAATGACAATTTTCTGTTGCAGAATCTGAAAATGACAAATTGTTTGAAGATGCAACATTGGATTTTTGATTCATCATATCCACCATTAGATAAATGGACAACAAATTATCCAAAGGAAAAAGTTCTTGGAAATCCACAAGATGGTGTGTTAACGAGAGCTCAACTTCATGCAAAGAATGAGGCACTTAATGTTCATAAGGAGTTTTACATGTTTAACGTTTTCATTTCGAAAATTGAACCAAATACAGTTAAGGTTGCAATGGAATACTCAGATTGGGTTGTTGCAATGCAATCTGAATTGGATGAATTCAAAAGAAACAAGGTTTGGAGATTTATTCCTAAGCTAAAAGACGTTTCGATAGTTGGGTTAAAATGGATTTTCAAAAATAGAACAAACAAAGATTGTAATATTGTTCGAAATAAAGCTACGCTTGTAGTAAAAGGTTATTCGAAACAAGAAGGAATAGACTATGAAGAAACCTTCGCCCATGTTGCAAGACTCGAGGCAGTTCGAATATTTTTAGCCTATTCAGCTCATAAAGATTTTGATGTTTATCAAATAGATGTGAAATGTGCATTTATGAATGGAGAACTCGACGAGTCAGTGTATGTGGAACAACCTCCAGGTTTTGTAAATGAAGAATATCCTAATCATTGCTATATTTTAGATAAGGGGCGTAAAGTTTGCAACTTTATGTGAGGATTGAGCTTTGGAAGTATAAATCTATGATTTGGAGCCCCTGCATGGCCCGAAAAGCCACTGTATGGATTAAGAACTAGAGCGACTCGGCGAGTCACATGGGTGGACTCAGCGAGTTGGATGAAGTTGGGCAGGAACTCGGAAAGTTGGAAGAACAACTCGGCGAGTCTATTGAAGATTGCCTTGGACTCGGCGAGTCTGTACTTGGACTTGGCGACTCAAGTCGCGAAACCCCAAACCCTTCGAGTTAAGACTCGAATCAGTGAGTTGAGTGGGGACTCAGTGAGTTGGACAGGTCAGGACTCAGAAATCGGTAGACTCGGCGAGTCAGGGGCTGACTCGGCGAGTCGAGTCGTGAATGGAAGGACTTTAAGCGTGTGAACTCGTCGAGTCAGTAGGCAGACTCGGCGACTAGGGTTAACCTAGAAGGTTGACCTTGACCAGGACTTGACTTTGACTAGAGTTGACTTAGTTGGCTTTCAGAGGACAGTTAGACTAAGTGTTGCATTGATATTGGTAGCTTGGGGAGCTAGTGGAGCAGGAGTTCAGAGAGTTTTCGGGCAGCAGCTAGAGGGGTTATCAGCAAGTTCAGCAAGTGCAGGTGAGTTTCCCTTTGTGTGAATGGGTCTAAGGCCACAATGCTGACCCATGTAGTTATGAGTAGAAGACCCGTGGGTTAGCCCTAGGCACAGTATGCTAGTATGATATTCAGGACGAAGTCCAATAATAGCGGGCGGGTGCCCAAGGATTTGTTTATATGATAGTTTGTACTTGTTGTCTATGTGATACATGTATGTGCCTGGTAGGGAGGTGAGTGTGGGCGAGGTCCTGTATCTCACCAATAGCAGAGTGTGGATGGTGTTCCACATCTCATTAGCAGCATAACAGGAGCGAGGCCCAAGTTAGGGAAGGAGTGAGTGTGGGCTGGGCTCGTATCTCACTATCAGTAGGAGCGTGGATGGGGTTCCATGACTCATCAGTAGCAGGATAAGGGCGAGGCCCAGGATAGGCGAGGCCTTAGGATAGGATCCATTAGTATATGTTTAGCTTATGTGTTGTGGTATGTTTATGTGCTATTATATGTTAGTGGGCGAGGCCTTATGACAGGCGAGGCCTAAATGAAGTAGATATGTATCCGAGCGGGGCTCGAATCCAGGCGAGGCCTGGAGCAGCGGGGCCGTTGTAGCGGGCGAGGCCTGAGGTAGGGGCCAGGCCCAGAATAGCGGGCATGACCCAGTATGTGCAGTATATTGTTATGCATGGTATGTGGTAGGTTGGGGAACTCACTAAGCTTCGTGCTTACGGTTTTTAGTTTTGGTTTCGGGTACTTCCGGTAACGGAGGGAAGAGCTCGGGGTGATCGCATGGCACACACCATTGATTAGACAGCCTGAGAATGTTTTACTTTGATAATGAACATATGTTTGGAAATTAATACTCTGATTATGTTTTGGATTGATGATTTTGCTTTAAGTAATGTTTTATTAGAAGAAATTTTTAGTCTTGAATTTTGGGACGTTACAATAAAAATATCTTTTTATACATGTAGGACTTGTTTGGCCCTTATAAAATCATAAATGTCACTTTCTCCCTTATCTTTTGTTTTCTTGACAATTTTGACCTTTAACAAGGTTTTTGTTGAAATCTTTTGTATCTTAAACATGTAATCACTTTTGGCTTGGTAATGTGATGTATATAATGTCTTAGTTCATAGATCTTTGCTAAATAATACTTCAAATTTCGAGATTTGCTAAGATCTAACACATTTTTACCAAATAAACTAAGAATTCACACAAAACATGCATATAACACATATATCTACACTTTTTACTTGCATTCTCCCCAAAAATCATATGAAAACCGAAAACAAGGGGGTATGAACTCACCTTTGCTTGATGTTTCAGTTTTTAATGAAGAATTGGAAAGAATTTTTGGTCTTAGCGCACCTTTGTTATGGATCTCAAGTTTATGAAGCTTCTAAGGTGTGATCATGGAATAAAAACCATGTAAGAAGGAGTTTTTCATGTTAAGATGAAAGGAGATACTTGTGTTTGACAGTAACTTACCAAAGATTTGAATGACTTGATGAAGATCCTTAGAACCTCAGCAATTTTTGAGATATTGGAGGAAGGAAGAGGATGATTTTAGAGAAGTTTGGAGAGAATTTTCCAAGTGTGTGTGTGTGTGTGTTTTGGCTCTCGGTCGAGATATCAAGAAAGAAGGAGAGAGAATAATCTTGATGCATGTTGGATCATACAATTGTCTTGTTATTTGGTGTATAATGTGGAGGTGGCACCACCAAAGTCAACCCCCAATTCATTTCTTTTTTTTACTCATGGGCTGAGAATGTTGGGCTAGGAGAAAGGGTGCAGTGGTTTGGGCCCATTAACTTTAATAGATCCTAAACATAAAAATTTCATCCCATTGGGCCCTTGGAAGCATTCATGGCCCAAATAGAATAAAAAGAAGGGGCTTATGGCTCACTAAGGTTAATTGGATTAGTTATGGCCCAATAAGGCCCATTAGGGTTAGAATGAATCATTTTAGGCCCAAATGGTCCAAAATGTTTTAGATTTATGAATTGGGTCCAATTAGGGCTTCTAAGTCCAATAAAGTTGAATTGGGTGCTTATTGGTCCATTAGGCCCAATAAGGAATTTATAGTCCAATATGGACTCAAACCGGGATTGTTAGGGTCTTTAGACTCTTTGTTGAACATAATTGATGACTCTAAATGAGCATTGAGTGAGATTTACTTAGAGTGCATGTTTTACAATAGATGAACGGCTACACAGGAATAGAATTTCCTAGCTAAAATGCTAGTTGTGACACCATCATCAAAGAAGTGCATAACTGAGGATGTTGCAAAACATATCTCTAGCAAGACCAAGAAGCCAAAGAAGCGAAAGTTGATTCTTCAGGGTGATGAAGACAAAGAAATTAATCTTTCACCTCAACAACACTCACCTATCAAGTCAACTTTCGAAATGATAGGAATTGAAAGGAGCTCCGTGGAAACTTCGATAGCGGACACATCTATTATTTTTGGTGAATCAACACAAGTATCGGCTCCTATGCAGACTTCGGTCATACCAGCCGAGGTTTCGTTTACGGAATCATTTCATGAGGAGGTTCAAACCTCAGGCATTTCTACACACGTACCTGATACGGATGTGAATGTCTACATGGCTGAAGTAGTTTCGAACAATGACCATCCAGTTGTTACTCAAGGTATTCTTGAAACTTCCACTACTCAAACCATTACTTCGTTACCCCTAATTATCACCACTATTTCCACAATCACTCATTATCCTACTTTTGATATGGTCATCGATCATCCCATTACTTCTCTCTTTTCATCCCAATCTATTGACCCACATAAACCTCTTAATGATGATGATACTGATGATGGAGGGTTTGGAGGATCATTTGTTGTTTGGAATTTGATCAAGAAGAAGGGGATATCCCAGATCATATGCTGATGTATGGGAAGCAGTTCAAGATTCTCAACAAAAAGCTCAATTCAATACTTCAATCCCATGCAGATGCACGGGGTAAGAATTTTGTTTCAAGTATTGAAGTTGATGTGATGCTTAAAGCTCAGGAAGTTTGATTGTTCAAGAAAGTGGAGAAGTTGATAAATGACTCTGAATCTCGTCTTTTCGAAAAGATTGATTCCATGGATAAAAATAATGAGTTAAGATTCAAATCTACATCTTTAACTTTTAATGTTGATCTCAAGGATTCGAAACGAGTTGCAAAGGGACGCCATGTTCTTTTGTGCAAGATGCTAAGATGATTTGTGAGAATGTCAATCACAAGCTTGAAGAACTGAAGGTTGATGTATCAAAAGAGCTTCATGAGATGGATAACAAATACTCTTCTCTTCTTGAGAATGTTGATATTATAGTGGATGTTGTTACTACATTTGTTAAAACGCATCAATCTTTTGATGATAAGTTTGATGAGAAAGCAATTGTTGATGTTACAAATTTTGGAAAAGTTACTTCTCTTCTTGAAGAATCGAAGGACATTTGTTTTGAAACCTGGTTCCTCATTAATTTTTACTCCTGAGTTTATTCATCAAAAATTTTGTTATTTCAAAGCTGTAATTCAAAAGATGCTGACTAGTTTGTCTCAGTTTGTCACCATCTTACCAACGAATGCCCCACCTGTTGACACAAGGGTGGAAGGGGGAGAAAAGGAAGGTGTTGGTAAAGGAGAAAATGTTTATGAGAAAACAAATGTAGAAACAAAGGTTGTGGGAAAAGTTTTCAAGACTCAAATTGGGACAACCCGAAATTTCCATTCTGTACGAACTTTATAAGGTCAATAGAAGTTATAACAGTCACAGTAAATTTTCATACTTTTCTGTATAAGTTGGAGTATTTCGGGATTTACACTAAAGGAGATATCAGGAGAGTGGATGCACTAGGGTTTTGTGCAACAGTGTTATTCCAAAACTCTATTACATTAGAGTTCATTACGGGAATAAAATATTTTCTACCAAAAATCTCAAGACTATATATAGAATTTTGAGCCATATTCATTCATTATTGACAATTCCAACTAGAGAAAAGCCATTTCTCTCTCACGGATCTTTGGGTTTTCATCCCAAATCGTGAGTACCCTTCTCTAGTTACATTATATGGCTTATAACATGTTTAATAACCTCGATTACATAGCAAAACTGCAAGATTCGGGAGTTTACCGCCCAAGAACATCTTGGGGAGTAAACTCCTATATGAGGCTTATATGATGCCTAGTCCCTTCCACATGTTAAATAATGACCTTAGGCTTGTATGTAAGTGTACTTAAGACAAGAAAACATCAAAGAAACACCCAAGTTTAGGTGTTCATGACCCAAGGAGTTCTTGGACTGTGAACTTGGACTAAAGTGTGCCTTTTGTGCTGTAACAACGTAAATTTTTAAAACAAAATTTTCATTTTTGCAACATCAAAAACCATCGTTTAATATTCCAAATTCGAACGTGAACAATGTTATCATAAACAAATACATCCCATGATCATAAATACATTTTTTCCGACAGTGTGTACAATCACGCCGGCACCTTCCCACGGTGCTCGCTAGTACCTGAAACACATAACACAACAACTGTAAGCATAAATGCTTAGTGAGTTCCCCAAAATACAACTTACGCACATACGCCTTTCCAGGCCTTGACCTTCTGGTCCATGTGTCTCACGGGACTTCCATCCCGACTAGGTAAACCTTCCGGTCCTACCTGCGTCCACTTTACGGTTCACATCACAACGCCTTCCGGCCCATAACATAATGCCTTCCGGACCATATCAAGCATATCATACATGGCACATATAAACGATTAACTTATCACATACAATGCATATAACTCATAACATATCCGACCTTCCGGTTACACAATAAAACCCTTCCAGGTACAGTATATTGAGAAAACTCACCTCGTGGAAAGTCTAAGATCTCGCGTACTCGCTATCTCCAAATCCTAATGATGACTCTACCTCGCCTAATCATAAAAATATCATTTCAGTAATTAAAGACTTCCACAACTAAACTTTACCCCTTATCATCATTCCTCAGAGGGTAAAAGACCATTTTACCCCTCCTTGACCCAAAGTCTTCATGTTGACCAAAACCCTAAAAGTCAACAAAAGTCAACCCTTTTTAGTATGCAGGGCGTACTGCTTGATGTACGCGGGGCGTATATCGCCAACCTAAGGATTGAGGTTTACACCCAGTACGTTGCGCGTACTTGGAGTTACGCCCAACGTAACCATCAAATTTCTACGTACATCATTTCTGGTCTTAATCGGTTAAGCCATTACTCCAACTTCTGGATCCAACTCTGTTTATGCCTCTATACCCATAAAGTCGAGACCTTTAAGCCTTGGCATGGCTGTAAAGGCTCCAACACTTCTTAACATAATTCTATTCCAACTCAAGGACCTACATCTCATGCATAGTGCAACATTCACGTCCAAGATATCATTTTTATGAGTCTACAACTCCAATAGACCAGAAATATGATGAATCTAAGCTTATGGAGACCATTTGCACAAAAAGCCTCCACCTTTGGGACTAAAACCCTAGAAAATGGTACTTGAAGCATATAACATGAACCAAATGACAAGATCCGAACTTTTTACCTGATAATGAAGCTTCAACCCTTGCAAAGCTCAGATCCACACTTGAACACCACTTCTAGCCTTTCCAATGAGCTCTTCTTCTCCTTTGCTACCTTGGAATGGCACCACCAAGCTTAGAATACTCACAAAATGGCCTAAGAACGAATGCACACTCTCTTTAGGGTTTCTCTCTGAGGGATGGTGGCTGAGAAGTCGAGCCACACATTCCTTTTATAGCCCTGCAAATAGCCCTCCAAATGAATTAGGGTTTTTAGGTCTGGACCGGTTACGCCCAGCGTAACCTTGGGTACGCCTAGCGTACCTGAGGGTGAACGCGTCCAAATGAAGCGCGCGAGTACTCGCAGCGTACACCTTGTACGCCTAGCATACTCGCCTAACATGAAAGCCCTAAAATGAAAACATATCAAAGATGAAGGGTCAAATAGATGGATACCTGGATTTCGGGCTGTTATAATTCTCACCCACTAGAACCAGACTTCGTCCCCGAAGTCTCATACTAAAAACAACTCCGAATACTGATCCTGCATCTCAGACTCGGACTCCCATGTCAGCTCGGACCCCTTCCGATGTTGCCACTGCACTTGTACCAAGGGTACTTCCTTGTTCCTCATAACCTTAACCTTCCGATCCCTGATCGCCACTGGTCTCTCCACATAGTTCAGGCATGCATCCACCTGAATATCATCTAATGGCACCACTACCGACTCGTCGGCAATACATTTTCTCAACTGCGAGACATGAAAGGTATTATGGATCTGTCCCAACTCAGCAGGTAGATCCAACCGGTAGGCTACCCTGCCTACCCTAGCAATTACCCTGAAAGGTCCAATATACCGGGGTCCCAACTTGCCCCTCTTCCTGAATCGTATCACTCCTTTCTAAGGAGAGACCTTAAGGAGCACAAGGTCACCAACCTGAAAATCGAGCTCGGACCGATGCCTGTCCGCATAACTCTTCTGGCGACTCTGCGCGGTCAAAAACCTTTGCCTGACCTGCTGAATCTGCTCGGTCGTCTGGAGTACAATCTCCGTGCTACCCATCACCCGCTGCCCCACCTCTCCCTAACAGATGGGGGTGCGACAACTCCTCCCATACAACAGCTCAAATGGTGGCATACCAATGCTCGAATGATGGCTGTTGTTGTACGAAAACTCCACTAAGGGTAAATAGGTGTCCCAACTCCCTCCAAAATCCAAAACACATGCTCGGAGCATATCCTCAAGCGTCTGAATCGTCCGCTCGCTCTGTCCGTCCGTCTATAGGTGGTATGCGGTACTAAAATGCAGCCTCGTACCCAACTCCTCATGAAGCTTCTTCCAAAACCTGGAAGTAAATCGTACATCCCGATCTGAAACAATCGACATCGGAACCCTATGCCACAATACCACCTCCCTCACATATAATTCTGCCAACTTCTCCGCAGAAGAGTTCTCACTGATGGCTAGAAAATGAGCGCTCTTCGTCAATCTATCCACAATCACCGAAATCGCGTCGACTCCCCTCGTAGTCCTCGGCAATTTGGTGATAAAATCCATGGTAATCTGTTCCCACTTCCATTCGGGAATCTCCAGCGGCTGCAATTTACCGTGCGGACACTGGTGCTCGGCCTTAACCTGACGACAAGTCAGGCACCTCTCGACGAACCACGCAACATCCCTCTTCATACAGGGCCACCAATACTCCTTCTTTAGGTCCAAATACATCTTAGTAGCCCCAGGATGAATCGAGAATTTCGATCGATGCGCTTCCTCCATCAAAATAGTACGCGTACCGCCCACAAACGGTACCTAAATCTGACCCTGAAAAGTCATAAGTCCCCGACCATCCGTAACGAATTCCGATACCTGACCGACAACCCGCTCCCTCTTCTGGTTTTCTGGTCTCGCAGCCTTAGCCTGAGCTCCTCGGATGGTGTCCAAAATCGGGGTCATCACCGTCAACCTCATAGAAATGTATCGGATCGGGGCGCTTTCTGCCCTACAGCTCAACACATCGGCCACCACTTTAGCCTTGCTCAGGTGGTACAGGATCTCACAATCATAATCCTTCACCACATCCAACCATCTCCTCTGTCGCATATTCAGATTTGGCTGATCCATCAAGTACTTCAGACTCTTGTGGTCCGTGTAGATGGTACACCGAACCCCATAAAGATAGTGCCGCCAAATCTTGAGGGCAAACACTACAGCCCCCAGTTCCAGGTCGTGGGTGGGATATCTCGACTCATGAGGCTTCAACTGCCTCGAAGCATACGATATAACGTGTCCCCTCTGCATAAGTACCGCCCCTAATCCCGATATAGATGCATCACAGTATACCACAAAATCCTCCATCCCTTCCGGGAGTGCAAGCACTGGGGCCTCACACAATTTCTGACGAAGGGTCTCGAATGAGGACTGCTGCTCCGATCCCCATGAAAATACAACACCCTTCCGGGTCATCTTAGTAAGCGGCACGACGATCTTGGAGAAATCCTTGATAAACCTTCGATAATAGCTGGCCAATCCCAGAAAGCTCCTGATCTCAGTGGGCGATCTCGGCACTTCCCATCTCATCACCGCCTCGATCTTGGCCGGATCGACCAATATCCCTTTCTGGTTAACAAGGTGCCCTAGGAACTGGACCTCTCATAACCAGAAATCACACTTGGACAATTTGGCATACAACCTCTCCGATCTCAATACTCCAAGAATTTCCCTCAAATGCTCCTCATGCTGCTCCCTAGTCCTCGAATATACCAAAATATCATCAATGAATACGATCACCGACCAATCCAGCATCGGCCTGCACACCCTGTTCATGAGATCCATGAACACAGCCGGGGCATTGGTGAGCCCAAAAGGCATCACCACAAACTTGTAATGTCCATAACGAGTTCTGAATGCGGTCTTCTGAATATCTTCATCCCGAACCCTCATCTGATGATA